ACAAGAAACAAAAGAATCTATGTGGAATTACTCATCACGACCATGTTTGAAAGAGGATTTTGAGAAATATTTCAGTCGAGCCCAGGAATTAATGCCGTATGGTATTATAGATGAACTTGAAGAGTTTCTGTTTAGCTTAACTGTAGGGATAAAACCTAAAGAAAAATCTTTGACATCGAGATTACAAGAAGAAACAGTAGCTCAAGTATTAGCAACCTATCAAGATTTGCAATTGCAATTCCATACCACGACAGCTATCGAATGTTGTGCGAAGAAATGCATGACAGCTATCTCATTGGTAAGAGTTCCCGAGATGGAGTGTCAAAAGAGAGCTTCGATGAACTGGTGGATGTGCTTTCGTCCGTCTGATTTTTTAGTGAAAACCTTTCAAGTTTAGTGCTGTTGTGCAAATAATGAACAATGAACGTTCTTGTATAATGAAAGCAAGAATACTACAGTAGAAGTTTTTGAAGAAGCTCATGCTGTGTTAGAAGAATCTTCACTGAAGATTGCACGATCAAAGAAAGATGCATTAATACTATTTCTGTGATGTGGTGCATGTTTAAATGAAAGCAAGGGTTAAACAACTGACAAGAAAATGGCGTGTTATATTTATAAAAAGCATATACTGGACAGAGAAAAGGTTTATGATTGCCTTTGTTCTTAGACAATAGATCACCTGCTAAAGGAGTTTGAATAACCAAAGTAATGTTTTTTAGCCTTTTTTTATATTTCTAACTCCTGGAATCTATATTTCACTTGTTTCATATTGTTTTAAAAGTCACAAATTACTTGGAAAAATTCTGAATGGTCCGCGGAAAGGCCCGGAAATTGGTCCGGAAAGGCCCGGAAAGGTCCGGAAAAAACCCGGGCTGTCCGGGTGGCCCGGAAATGGACCGAAGCGCTCCCGGAAAGACTCCGGGAATCTTTCGGAATGACCCCGGAAAAGAGATCGGAATGGAATTAGAAACCATTTTCCGACGCAAACCATTGCTGTAAAACATTTTATTCCATAAACTTAAAGTTAAGGTATTACATATGATATATTTTTTGTAAACATGAATGGATCGTTGTTGACCTATTTTTTATTTCCATTGATACATCATTGTATTTGCGATTATTATTATCAATATATCATAGTTTGAAACCAATCCAACAGAGAATCTTGCGACTTGTGATACACTCTATGTTACACCATCTACTGTAGCAAGAGAAAATGAGGTAAGAGAAGGAATCCCTGGTACTGCGTTCTTAACCCATCATATCAGCCCTTCGTTCTATTTTTAGAAAAAGAGCTATTTTTAGAAATGGAACATGATTGGTCAGATCGAATGATCGATCAAGGACAACATCCTTTCGTGTTGAATCTACAAATGCAAATTTTGCGTTTTATAAATTATCTATTCTTCGTGTGCATGTGACGTCATAGTCACGCAAAAAATCTYGCAAAATCCAAAATATTTTTGCTAAAGAGCTGTTCTTACAGTATATCTTAAATATATTTCTAGATAGTGTGTATGGAAATTTTCAGATGAATTCAACGCTTTGGTGGCGAAACACAAAAGTTTTAGTTTGTGCGGAGTTTAATTTATTCTACTGTTAGATCGTAAACAAAAACTTCGAAATTGGATAAATCATTCTTTCAACTCCGTAAGAACGTATTTAAGGTGATTTTTCTTTGAAATAAAGCCATAATTGAACAAAATTTACAAAGGAAATCAAGGAAACCAGATTTTTTGAAGTCAATTTGAAACCAGCCGCCATCTTGGATGATCAAAGTTATCATCCAAGATGGCGTCACCATACAAATTAACCAGATATTTCAAATCTTYATTCGCTGATATCTTCATCAGAAAGTAAGTTGCAAGCCTTACAGCTCATATTCTAGATAATCTGACTATGCTCTTTGTGACTCGCTACTTGGTTTTTGAAAATAACGACTAATAAATTTTCACTTTGGGGTTGCACACCAAGAATTCCAGGTTAAATATTACTGCTCGAGAGGTCAGAGAATTCAAAGGTCAGATTGTCGATCTAATTTCATGTCACATTACCTTCARAAGCTGATTMTTCTTYGACWCTTTCAAGTTTTCTTTGTTTTGAAGAAGATTCCTTTTCTTCTTCAAGAAGTTTCCTTTTTAAAAGCGAATTTCRTAGCTTTTCTCGAACAGTATTTGACATTCAGTTTTTGGCGATGAAAAATAGACGATATCAAATTCCAATAAACGAGTAGTGGTCGCGCGGGCTTGGTAGCAAACTAAAAATAGCTCTTTTTCTAAAAATAGAACGAAGGGCTGATATGATGGGTAACAGGGATTCATTCTCTTACCTCATTTTCTCTTGACTGTAGCTAATAGTATAGAAGGTTTTAACTCCGTAAAAGCTTTCCAAAACGTACCATATTAGAAACTTGATAGTTCTTCCATTGGCGTTTGAAAATGGATGGACGGCAAGGAAAGCTAGGACAAATTCGGCAAGCGCCTCAAAAACCTGGCAGCAATAAATGGTTTTATAATTAAAATAATCCACTATAATTTGCATTCTAGACTGAATATCCTTTGGATCGCAGTACCATATTTCCTGACCCTGGTAAGTGGTCATTCTCTGGTTTGTGCAATAAGCACACAGTTTATCGTTTTGGAGCAGTTTATTATTGATACTGATGATTATTTCATGTTCCAAAAGGCCTTTGTCAGGATAATTCAAAAGTTCCTCGAGATATTCCTTGGCCTCTATTGCTCCTTGCATTGATGACTGGTCAAAGTGCTCTTCGCTATTCAAAATCTCTCTTTCTATTGTTAGCATGTTATCCGGCAATGCAAGCCTTCAATCAAAACCACTAAAATTACGACTGTAGGGATGGAATCTTTCGTTTACGCTTTGTTTTGGGACTTCTTCTTTTGTGAACAATTTGTTCAACAAAAACTTTCTTTGATGAATGGCTGATTGGGTTGCTTCTTCCCAGTCATAGCTCTCCATATCCATAAGGTTTTTCTGTTTTTCTATTATCTTTTTATAAATAGGATCTCTTTTGAATAGATGCATCCACTTTAGCTCGTCAAACAGAACCTCCCTCAGCGCTTTTCTATATGAGGGAAGCAAAGCATTATTTGCTCTGATTTCTGCTGCGGTATCGGTATCGCCATTTTGTTTGTATTTCTGAACCAGTACTTCATATTCTTGCTGATATCTATCCATAGCTTGGTGTTGAATTCTTGCCCAGACATCGATATCCTCCTGCTCTTCACTTGAATCAACATCACTTGAATCACTACTCTCTTCGCTGCTTTCTTC